GGCAGTGGGGGGGGGGGGGGGGGAATGTTTTTGTTTTTATTGTATGAGTAAAGGGCAGTAGAACTGTACGCAACCTGTTCTGATTGAGGGTATAAAAGAGAGGGTGGGGACAGGTGTTTTGCTTGATGGTCTGTTTGAGTCACAAATACTATTTGACTTTTAAAGACAGAGCTAATTGAATGTCAGTGCATTCATTTTGGTGATGTTGGCCAACTTAATAATTTCAAATTATGATTTGTAAGCAAAGTCAAAATGAGCTCTCCCTGACAGCTAGTCATGAGCTGAGGGCTGGGGGGAAAGGCTTCAGGACCAGATTGTATTTACATTCACACACAATCTACCTAGGTACCCAGCAAACAGAGATGTGTTGACCAAGTGATAGGCAGTGGGGGGGGGGGGGGGGGAATGTTTTTGTTTTTATTGTATGAGTAAAGGGCAGTAGAACTGTACGCAACCTGTTCTGATTGAGGGTATAAAAGAGAGGGTGGGGACAGGTGTTTTGCTTGATGGTCTGTTTGAGTCACAAATACTATTTGACTTTTAAAGACAGAGCTAATTGGGCTCCATATATAGTCTTTTGTTTTGTTAAGTGACCACTACAGCTGAAATCACCGATAATCAGGTCTAAGTGCTTAGTCCTGATGTGGGGACAGTGTTCCTGTGAGTACGTTGTTTTTGTGTAAGAGACAGCCCAGACTGCACTAGCAGCAAGGTCACCCACTGAGAGCTCAGCTGAAATCTCTGAGAACTGGGTGGAACCCACTGGCAGGTGGCAGCAGAAGGTAACGGCGCATAGCCATTGGCAACAGAACAATGGAGTGAACAGTGGCACATAGAACAACAGTGGCCAGAGTGAACAGTGAGCAGCTGGAGGAACAAGCAACGTGCCTTCTTGCCCCCCACCTGGGAGGTGTACTCACGTGAAAGCACATCTGAACTCTGTCTCTCCACTGACCAAAGACAACACCAGTGAGTGGGGTGAGATGGAGGGAAAAATGAGGAGCACATTAAATAAACATTTGTTTGTTGGACTGTATTTTAGTGACTTTGCTCCAGAATGCTAGATTTGTGACTAAGAATGAAAACTTATATAAATGTGTTTCCTAGTAGGCCAAGATTTTTAAAATGCATTCTTTGCCAAGGATGTTCTCTCTCATCGTTGCTGTCTTGAGAGGTCATTATGTGGGGAGTTTCTGTACTAAACATTTTTATTATTACAATTAATTTTTACATAGGAATGGTCATACTGGGTCAGACCAGTGGTCCATATAGCCTGGAATTTTTCCACTCAAAGGCCTCAAAAACTAACCAAGGTGGAGAACACATCAAGAACCAAGAATATATCAACATGTCATCTGAAGGGTCAAGTGGTATATCTACATCCGACCAGCCCAAAGCACAAATACAGCTACCTACCGAAGAAACAGTGTCTCCAAAACCTAAAGGCAGTTCCCGATGTTTGTCGATCGAAGTGTTCCCATTTATTGAAGTTACAAAAGATGGCTACTGGTGCACCTCTTGCAAAAAAGCTTATGAAGAAGGAAAGCTTTCCAATGCTATAACTGGTAAAAATGAAGGAGCTTGGTTTGTCAGACCAATCAGCAAAGCCAATGATGACAAACTACGTGAAAAGGCAGCAAAACACCAGGAGTTTGGACTGCATCAACATGGAGAAAGCCTTATAAGCCCACTTTCAAAGCCAATTTTAGAAGTACTTAATGAGGCTGTTAAGAATGCTGGAGACACAACACAGTTCATGCGAACAAACATGGCTGTGGCATCATACTTTCTATTTAAGCAAGAGATACCACACACTACAAATTGGAGGCCAATGTTAAATGCATTGTCACTTGTTCATCCTGAAGTTGAACACTGTTCTGAATAAGACCAGCAAATGCTCACTATCTTTCTGCAGGAAACTCAACTGACTGGCTAGAAGCACGTGGTGGAACAGTGAAAGACTCAACAGCTGAAAAAGTGAAGGACTCTCTCACCACATTCAAAAAATCTGTATACATGGCTGATGAATGCACCGATGCAAATGGGCATCAAGTATTAAGTCATTGTGTACGTTATCTTGATGTCAGCGGTAGGCCAATAGATGCATTTCTAGATGTTCAAGTTATAGAAAACACATTGGCTGCATCTGTGACAACCCACATCTTAGAAGAGTTAAATGCTTGTCAATTGGACCCCAAACAGATGGTTGCTTGTGCATTTGATGGAGCTGTGAACTTCTCTGGAAGACATGGTGGAGTACAAGCTTTGCTCAGAGAAAAGTGTAACCCAAATCTCTCCTATACACACTGCAGAGGCCATCTACTCCAACTAGCACTAGTACGAGCTGCATAATCTTCAAAGGACATTAAAAAAAAGCTATAAATGTAATGTCTTCATTATATTCTTTTTTCAGCAAGAATCCAAAAAGACTGAATATCTTGGAAAATATAGACGATACACTGGGACTGAAGTTCAAATTAGTCCAACCTGGGAAAAACTGCTGGCTTTCTCATGAGCGATCCTTGGCTGTTGTCTTAAAACTACTCCAGCCGTTATTACTGGCTTTGGAAAGTATCTACCAAGATGGGATGGATCTAAGTCATGAGGCTGGTGGATTACTTTTGCTACTATGTTCAGAAAAGACTATTGCCATTCTGTCTCTCGTAAATCTACCGTTGAAACCACTTGGGTCATTAAACAATGCCATCCAGGCATCTGCTACAACAGTAGTAGATCTTTGTCCAGCAATAGAAGCTAAAATTTGGATCAATCCGAGAGCTATCCACTGAAAAAGTACTGGAAGAAGCAAAGATTTCAGTCCAGAAGTTGACTAATGAAGGCATTTATATTGAATCCTTAAGTGAAGAGGACAAGAAGTGTTTGTTAAGACAACTGAAAAAGTCCACAGACTTGATTCTTAAAAAACTACAACAGTGACTTCTAGATTCTGCTTAACCTCTTTTACATATGCCTGTCCTATAAAACACTGACAGTTGAGTGGAGTGAGACACTACCAGCAATGGGGCTGCCATGTGCTCAGGACAGAATAGAGAATTTGAACACAGAGTGGAACATCATACAACGAATGACTGAAGATTTTACTTCAACTTCTTTTTTATCATCACTAGTGGCTCGACCGGATCTTTGTGCTATGTTTCCTGGGATGAAAAAAGTAGGAATTCATCTCTTGCTACTCCCAGTCACAACAACTACAGCTGAGCGTTCTTTTTTATCATTGAATAGAATTTTGTGTTCTGAAAGAAGTCACCTTCTGCCTGATCATGTGAATGAACTAATGAGCATATCAATTGAAGGAATGGAAGTACCAGACACATGAGAAGCCACCGAAGATGAACACATTGTATTCTAATGGAAGTACCAGACACATAAGAAGCCACCGAAGATGAACGCATTGTATTCTAGAAGTTCATTAAAACAGTTGTGCAAAATTATAACAAGAAACCAAGAAGGATGTAGACATAGTGCTTCATAGAAGGCTTGAGTATCCAACTTTAATTTGTGTGATTTTAAAACATGAGTTAAATCTAAGAAAATGGTCATGAAATATTTTTCAGTTTTTACTATGGTGCCATACAGACCACCTTCACCCTCACGGTCTCACCCCTTATCGGCCCTGACACGCCCTCCTGTAAATTCGACCTCCCCTTCCTAATTTTAATATCTGGGGAAAACACTGCATCCCGCCACACACACAGCTACAACCTGTCACCCCACAACCCCTTCAACCTACCCCTTTATGCACACACACAGCCACAGCCCATCACCCAACCAGTCATTCAGCCTCCCCTCTGTACACATATAGCTACAGCCTGTTACCCCACGACTCACAAAACTCCTATACACATGTAAACGGACATATCCCATCACCCATGACTCACACATTCTATCCTCCTCTTTCCTCACACATAGCCACATCCCATCACCCTTCAACCCACACAATATATCCTTTCCATCTACCTCACACACACATCACCACCACCTCCATGCCACTTCTGTGATTACCCTAGCAGACCTACCAAGATTCACTTTTTTGAACTGAATCTCTTTCATTCAGAAATTGTCTCTTGTGAGACAATGGTTTTTGCTATATGCATCTCAAGGAGACACAATTCAATGTTTGTTTTTTCAGTCTGGAAGATATGCATATAGTTAGATAAACACTAAGCCTCACTCCTGAAAACACTCAGCTTAACTTTCCTCCAGTACACTCACTGAAATAAATCCTGCTTTTTAAAACAAACAAAAACCATCATTTCATCTGTTCTAGCACAAGCCTATTAAAGCACCCTATAAAACAGAATCATAAAATTGTAAGTCTGAAAGGGACCTCAAGAAGTCTTCTAGTCTAATTCCCTGAAATCAAGACAGGACAAAGTATCATCTAAATCAGTAGTTCTCAAACTTTTTAGCAATATTAGGACCCCCTTCAGATTTTAAAAAATGTGGGGACCCCATTTTTCCCTTTGCTGAGTCTCCATTCCCACTCATTCTGTCCCACTACTTGTTTTGCTTGCTCTCCCCCCACCTTCACTCACTTTCACTGGGCTGGGGCAGGGATTGGGGTGTGAATTCTCCGGCTGGGAGCACAGACTCTGGAATGGGACCGGGTATGAGGCATTTGGGGTGCTAGCAGCACTTATCCCAGCTCCCAAGAAGCAGCCTCTGGGTCTCTGTGGCCCCTAGGTGCATGGTCAGCCAATGAGATGCATGCACTGCCCCCAGGATAACAGGCTTTGTCCCTAGAGCTCTCATTGGTCACAGCCCGCCAACCAGTGGAAGCTGTGGGGCCAGTACTGGGGCAGGGGCAGCATGTGAAGCCTTCCCTTGTGCCTGGTGGTTGCTTCCAGGAGCAAGATAGAACAAGGACCTGCATGGCTGACAGCCCCAGCCCACAGGCAGTGCTGGGAAGAGGGGTGGGAAGAAGGAAGGAGTTGATCAGCAGGTCCCACAAATCCCCTTGAGTTTCCTTGCAGAGCCCAGTTTGAGAAATGCTGTAGACCATTCCTGATAATTTCCTATTTGGAAATTTAAGAGCAGGTTAGACAATGACAGAGATTTCACAATCTCCTTAGGTAATTTATTCCAGTACATAATCATCATTACAGTTAAGAAGTTTTTCCCTAATGTTCAGCCTAAGCCACTCTTGTTGCAATTTAAGCCCATTGCTTCTTGCCCCTTCATCTCCTCAGAATTTAAAGGGAACTTTCCCCTCCTACTTGTTACAACTTTTTATGTACTTGAAAATTATCATGTCCCCCTCAGTCTTCTCTTTCCCAGACTGAACATACCTACATTTTTCCAATCTTCCCTTATAAGACATTTTTTTATACTTTTAAACATCTCTGCTGCTCTTCTCTTGACTTTCTCCAGTTTCTCTACATTTTTCCTGAAACATGGCACCCAGAACTGGACACAATATTGTACTGCAATTGAGTCTTAATCAGCACAGATTGGAAAAAATTACTTCTTGTGTCTTGCTTATGACACTACTGCTGGTACATCCCATAAATATGTCGATTTTAAAGAAACATTTTGTAATATTGCTACACGGTTGTCTCATTTAGGTTGTGCTCCAATATGATCCTTACATACCTTTTCAGCAATACTTTTTCCTGGGAAGTCATTTCCAATTTTGTTTGTATTCCACTGATTGGGCCTTCCTAAGTAGAATATGTAAGCATTTCTCATTGTTAAATTTAATCTTATTTACTTGAGAACATTTCTCCAGATCATTTTGATTTTTAATCCTATCCCCCCAAGGCACTTGCAACCTCTCTGAGCTTGGTATCATCTGAAGACTTTAGAAGTGCACTCTATGCCACTAGCTAAATTATTAATGAAGATATTGAATAGAACTGGACCCAGAACTGATTCTTGGGGGACTCCATTCGATATGCCCTTCCAGTCAAACTGTGTATCACTGATAAGCACTTTCTAGAAAACATTTCCGAGCAGTTATGCACCACCTTATAGTACCTCCATCTAATTCTAAGTTTTATTTCCCCAGTTTGCGTTTGAAAACATCATGTAAGACAGTATCAAAAGCCTTGCTGCAGTCAAGATATCTACCACTTTCCCCCATCCACAAGGCTTGTTACCCTGCTAAAGAAATCTATTAGGTTGGTTTGACATAATTTCCTCTTGACAAATCCATGCTGAATGTTATTTATCATCTCATTATCTTACAGGTGTCTGCAAACTGATTGCTTGATTATTTGCTCCATTATCTTTTTGGGGTATTGAAGTT